TGGATGTGAATGGTTCAGTGCTCTCTGTACAGCACTGCGGTATATGTCAGGGCAATATAAATGTATAAATAATAATAGTATGTGACCGTGGGGGGGACATTCAAGTGTAAGCCCACCTGCTGCAGAGGCCGAGGTGAATGGTTCTGCGTTCTCTGTACAGCGCCGTGGTATTTCCCAGAGCCATAGCAATGTTCAAATAAAATATTTCTGACCTGCAGGCGATGCTGTGTTGTCTCCTCGGCAGTCATTAGAGAGAGTGTATGGAGAGAGGCGGCTGCGGTGTCCGCACAGATCAGGACATTGTCAGCGACCACCCCGCAGGTCCCGTGTAGCGTGTTAAGCCAAGGGGTGAGGACATCAACCTTCGCACACACACAAAGAACAGTCAGGATACAAGGAGGGTTCTCCCATCATCCGCAGTGACCCGGATCCCCAACCAACCTGCATTGTGATGGAGCCATCCTCCACACTAAATGTCAGGATCCGGATGCGATCGCCGGGGACAATCCCAACCACGTGGACCAGACCTTTGTAGGAGGAGTGAAGCAGCTGGTACTGGACGGTTCCACTAGAAGAAAAACAAAAACAATCCAAATCTTCAATCACATGGTCACGTTTTACAGCTGAACTTCAGTCTTTTGTTTTTTTCCCCAACACTTGTAGCAAAGTCCTCTCCTGTGTGGAAATGTGTTACTCTCAAATCTCTGCAGACCGGCATCTACCCAACATAACCCTATGAAGCTGAAGCAGAGATCCTGAGCCCACCTTCACTTCCCAGCTGAATGACTTCAATCATCACCAATCCCCTCTCCCCCCGACCTGTACTGTCATTGGGCTGCTTCCCACAGCTATGAGCTTTCCCTGACATCAATCATTTTTGCCGTTTGTCGTGTGTGGGCATGATGGTTACATGAAAGTAGTCACTCGCACTCCATGATATTAAAGTCAATGCTGTTTATTAGGGATGCACCGATACCACTTTTTTAAGACTGAGTACGAGTACCGATACTTTTGATCAAGTACTCACCGATACCAATTACCGATACTTTTTCTTAAAGGGACAGGTCACATTTTTTCTAAAGCAATACAAACTAATGCTTTAAGGTCACTTTCTTAATATTATGATTAATGAGATGACAACGGAGCATGACGCCGGCTTCCCGGCCAATCAGAATGCCGGGCGCTTGCGTCATTACACGGGGCCCGGCTTCCGGATTTGCTAGCTTCCTGACCAATCGGGAAGCCGGGCAGCGCATCATTGCATGCTACCCGGCTTCCTGATTGGCTGGGAAGTCGGCTCCATGCTCTCTCATCACAAGTGACGAGAGAGCATGGAGCCGTTTCTGGGCCAATCATGAAACCGGGCAGCATGTAATGATGCGATGCCCGGCTTCCTGATACAGGAAGTACTCGTGTTAGGTATCGGAGCATTTGGGCGAGTACAAGTACTCACCCAAATACTCGGTATCGGCATCGATACCGATACTAGTATCGGTGCATCCCTACTGTTTATTGACTGAGATGACACACATCTCCTTAGCGACGTTTCGAGACCATGCGGCCCTGTCCTCAGGCAAACAGAGAGTGAGGAGATGTGTGAGGAGCTAAGGAGATGTGTGTTATCTCAGTCAATAAACAGCATTGACTTTAATATCATGGAGTGCGAGTGATTACCTTCATCTATCTACATTTCACGGAGGCATCCATTGTCACCACCGCACCCACCCAGTTGGATTTGGGTTTATGTCCGGTCAGGAGTGCGATGGGACAGGAGGATTAAGTGACATGATGGTTAGGGATGGCGTCAGTCAACGTACTGCTCTACCAAAGAGTCATCTAAAAGAAAAAATACCCGGCATCCCATTAGAAAACATGTTTTTACCTGTCCGGCAGGTCTTCGGACCATTTCTGGTGCCCATTGGACAGGTAGTGGAGGGACAGGACAGAATTCTTCAGCACCGCCACGTATCGCGCTGCGTCCTGGGTGCCGGCGAAGCCCGCAGTCTGAAAACTAGAGGAAAACACAACAAATGATTATAGGAGGGAACTGGAGATTGAAGCACTAAGGAAGCCGCCATATTGTGCGCCGGTCTAATACCGCGTTTCCCCGAAAATAAGACCTAGTTTGGGGGTGGGGCGGCCCAGAGAGCAACCAGAGTACATGGCGGGGACTAACCGCTGCGCCGCAGCTCCCGAATGCCGCCCCTGTCACGAAATCAGCAGACACCTGTCTGCCTCGGCCTTTGCTTAGAGAGCTGCCGCCGGGCAGAGAACTATATTTCCCAGCAGGCAGCGGCACAGCGCAGCAAGGAACGTATGGCCAGTGGGGTCGGAGTGAGGCGAGGTGACTGAGCCTCAGTCACTGAGGGAACTTCTGACTGGAGGTCCGTGCAGTCCAGCCTGGCGACGAGAGAGGTGGCTCCCTGGCGGGGATCCCACAGAGAACTGTGGACGGCATCAGAGAGGAGAGCTCCAGGACAGCTGCAGCCTGCAGGTATTGCGACACTGTGTGTGACAGTATTTAAGATAAGACCTAGTGTGTTTTTTTTGGGGGGGAAAAAAAAAATATACGACAGTGTCTTATTTTCGGGGGAAACACGGTACAAGTTACATTGGAAGCAATTTCTGATTGGTTGCTGCAAGCACATTCGACTTGACCAGATTTTTTTTTTTTAAAGGGAAACCTGCACTGTGTTGGCAGCCATTGTTGACCTTCTGATAATGCTGATTGCCTGGGTGTAATACCAACCCTCTGCCTTCAATACCTCACGTCTCTGACCCAGAACGACAAGCAGATAAGGACATTTCTCTGACTTTCCGGATCTGCATTCATGGCCTGAATCAAATGCTCAGAAAGTAGTGAAGACAGAGATTTTGCACAACTAGCAGTTCCAGGAGGCGGCAATGGCAGCCCCCACACTACACTCCAGGACAGACCTACTTTATTGAATCAATCCTCCCAACACTTAAAAATCAGTTTTTAGCACATTCTGGGCAGTTAAAGGGAACTTGCCAAGACCGACATAGCAAACGCTTCAATATCTTGGTACTCCAGGTGGTGGGATCTCTGCACCGAGTTCCCAGCTCCACCCACGAGCTGAAGCTCCACCCATTCCTGCTGGAACTTTATACCATAAAGAAAGAGTGGGAACAGAGCCCAGGGATTGGCAGGGAGATTCTGCTACTGGAAATACACAGAAATATATAAAAGGGTGATGGCCCCAGACTCCACCGACAACTAAAATGAGCATTTTGGAAGGACTGACCCTTTAAATGTTCCCGTGTCTGGCTGGGGCTACTTTTCAGGTAATAATGCTACTTACCTGCCGGGTTCAAGAATGGCTTCCCAATTCAAACCGCCAACGTTAGTCTCCCAGGAGCGCAGCAGCCGGCCACCGGATATTGTGATAGCATCTGAGGAAAGAGACACAATGAATGGACTTTACATTAAATCTAACTGCTATTACCAATGGCTCCGCCCTTCCAGCTGTCTTCTGTGAAATACAAAACACCCGCCCCCTACATGGTGGAGATGAGGAGATGCTTGTAGTCCAAATCAAGATAACAGCGGAGGGTGACACTGCTGCTCCTTCACAATACTTTAAGCTGCTGACCCAGAACAAGCATGCAGCTAGTGAAGTCACAGGAAGATCAGCCAGATCCGTCAGCTTGTTATAGGTCAGTGATGCAAAACTCAAGCTTTGGATCTATGTAATGGCCAGGAAAGCAGCATTTCAGCAATGGCACCCCTGCAGGTTCTATGTTTAGGGAAGAAACCATTCATCGTCTTTATAGCACTTGCACTCCTCATTCCCCTTCCAGAGATGTAATGTTTATATAACGGATAATAGATGTTGGCAGACATGCAGCACTGACCTTGACCATGCATCAGCAGAGCATTGATGGTGCCTTCAGCGGTGTCCTTATCGATGTGACGCCACACTGAAACATAAGAAGCATGTTGTCAGTACAGGAAAGACAAATTAACCAGTCGTGGAGATTGGGAGTGCCACACAAGTCCACAAAAACCATAATTGTAGTACATAGAGCGAGTATAGAACATCCTGTCCTTCTTCCCCGATGCCAATCACCCCCCTTCACACTTTCTGCTAATTCCCAGATGCCAAAATTACATTATCCAAAGGGAGATAGAGAGATACAAAGTAACATTGTTTATAAACATTGATCAGAGGGAAAAAGAGAGATACAAAGTAGCATTGTTTATAAACATTGCTCAGAGGGAGATAGAGACATACAAAGTAACATTGTTTATAGACATTGATCAGAGGGAAAAAGAGAGATACAAAGTAGCATTGTTTATAAACATTGCTCAGAGGGAGATAGAGACATACAAAGTAACATTGTTTATAGACATTGATCAGAGGGAAAAAGAGAGATACAAAGTAGCATTGTTTATAAACATTGCTCAGAGGGAGATAGAGACATACAAAGTAACATTGTTTATAGACATTGATCAGAGGGAAAAAGAGAGATACAAAGTAGCATTGTTTATAAACATTGCTCAGAGGGAGATAGAGACATACAAAGTAACATTGTTTATAGACATTGATCAGAGGGAAAAAGAGAGATACAAAGTAGCATTGTTTATAAACATTGCTCAGAGGGAGATAGAGACATACAAAGTAACATTGTTTATAGACATTGATCAGAGGGAAAAAGAGAGATACAAAGTAGCATTGTTTATAAACATTGCTCAGAGGGAGATAGAGACATACAAAGTAACATTGTTTATAGACATTGATCAGAGGGAAAAAGAGAGATACAAAGTAGCATTGTTTATAAACATTGCTCAGAGGGAGATAGAGACATACAAAGTAACATTGTTTATAGACATTGATCAGAGGGAAAAAGAGAGATACAAAGTAGCATTGTTTATAAACATTGCTCAGAGGGAGATAGAGACATACAAAGTAACATTGTTTATAGACATTGATCAGAGGGAAAAAGAGAGATACAAAGTAGCATTGTTTATAAACATTGCTCAGAGGGAGATAGAGACATACAAAGTAACATTGTTTATAGACATTGATCAGAGGGAAAAAGAGAGATACAAAGTAGCATTGTTTATAAACATTGCTCAGAGGGAGATAGAGACATACAAAGTAACATTGTTTATAGACATTGATCAGAGGGAAAAAGAGAGATACAAAGTAGCATTGTTTATAAACATTGCTCAGAGGGAGATAGAGACATACAAAGTAACATTGTTTATAGACATTGATCAGAGGGAAAAAGAGAGATACAAAGTAGCATTGTTTATAAACATTGATCAGCGGGAGATAGAGAGATACAAAGTAACATTGTTTATGATCTCTGTTTCATTCATCTGCAGATCATCATCTCTTCTACTGTAGGAAACATTTATGTGGATTTATTTTTGTGACTGAGAGTCTCTTCAAAGCCAAAACCTTTTTATTTGGCGTCACATTTGGGAGTTTTTCCTTAATTTCCTGGCACAACAGGAAGTAATTGGAAATCTCCTCTCAGACAGCTGCCACCAATACAGGTGACCCCCATTTAAAGATTTCCCTTATATTCCTGTCCTGGTGACAAAGAGGGAGAATGTCCCCAGCAGGGACACAGCAACAAAAACATGATGGGGGTTCTAATCCTTCCATACAAAACCAGGAAAAAGCTTTGGGCTAGAACTAGACTTCAGCCACCGAAAATGGAATAAGTTTGGAGACTCACAGATGTCGCCGTTCCTGGAATTCAGGGAGACAATCCCATTCATCTCTGTGGCTGCGATGAGTTTCTTGGCTCCTTGTCCAGATTCCAGCACTGCGTACTTCAGGCGCCCCACATATTGCTGCCTCCTGCGGAGGGGAGAATAAGGACACGGGGGTCACGGTACCCCTGTCAGCTCCTCTCACAGGATCAGGCATGCACAGAATGAAGGATGGGGATGGTAATGACAAAGTGGGGTCCCCTGCTCTCTCATCACTTACCAGTCAAATTTGCCGACCTGATCCTCATACACCGCACAACACAGGGCTACCACCCCCAGCAACACAGCTAGCCGGTACACCGCCGCCATGACACCTGGAAACCGGCTACTCCTCCACCGCACCACAGACTACCGGGAAGTAGGAAAGAGCGACCTAGCCTACCATAGAGAATATGCATGGGAACCCGGACAGAGCGACCTCTTGTGACTATAGAGAGTTGCGCAGAGGAGGATAGAGCGGTCTAGAAAAACTATAGAATACAGCGAAAAAGATAGAGCGACCTCTAGTGTGACCATAGAGTGTGGAGGTTGCGGGACAGAGCGGTTCAGGATACCATAAAGCATAATTAATAGCTGGAGTGAGCGCCCCCTAAACCTGGTGAACACAGGGAGAGAAGACGAGGTGCTCTTACTGTGCTATACCCGAACTAAGAATAGGATGGAGCCCTTTGTTCACCATAGACAGTCTGGGCAGAGTCTAGAGGCTGTTTTTCCCCTTACGAAATTTAGTTTCATTCAGTCAGGCAGTAGGACGGGCAGCCCCAGGGAGGCGTCCCATGATGCAGTGCGCGAGGGCCTTTCACCCCCCCCCCCCGCACATGCAGCTGCTGGAGGAGCACGTGACAGAGAAGGGCCAACATGCCGAAATCTAAGAGGGACAAGAAAGGTGAGAGGGGCCCCGGGGGGAGGAGTAGAGGGGTACAGTGGCTTCGTGGAGGTGTCTGTCCACTCTGTGATATCATCCAGCTGGTACCGAAGTCACTTGTATGTGTTTGGTGACGTAGTCAGCAAGGGTCCCCCCAAGCAGAATCAGTCTCGGGGCCCCTCACACACAAGCTGTAACGATTTCAGCAGCGAGGTCTGATTAGTAATACTTGTGTGTGAAGTGACTTGTGTCAGAGTTTATTACATTGTGTTGTGCAGTGTCCAGTATGCAGCATCAGGTCGGGGGAGTGTTGGGGTAAAAAAAAACAGTGTAATATATGTTTTTTATTTCTCCATGGTTTATCCCTTCAAAGACCCTGCAAGAGCATTACAATACACATTGATCTGCCAGAAATGTACTCGGCTCCTAATTTCCTCTTGTGGACTGACAACACCCAGCATTTTGTGGACAGAGTGGTGTCAGCACTGCCCAGTTGTCTTTTGCTAAAATACTCAACTCCTATTCTTGGCTCTTTACAACATATAAAGTCTGACTTTAGTCCAAGATTAGAACTGGGAGTGCTAAATAAACTATTTAGATAACACAGCAAGTGTACACGGAAGAGCTCTGAACTTCTGGCAGGATCAACAGGATTTTTTTTAATACTTGGATATAAGAAAATGCTTTTAATGGGATGTCTAGCAGACCAAAAGTCAGACCAAGTCTGTTACAGGGTGGGGGTAATAAAGACAGAAGGGGGAAGAGACACTAAGAGACACTAACAAGATACAATTTAGTATAAGACCTCCCAATGTTTGGCACACAATACACATGTAGACATCTTTGGTGTAAACTCAGCCTAACGTTTTTTTCCCCCCCTTCAGTTTCATTAACCAAGACGACCAAGAAGGGTCTGCAGGTGAAGCAGAATCTCATAGAAGAGGTATGGACATAGCGGGGGTTAAGCTAAACTGCACACCTGAAGCTGCCATCACAGTGACGCATTGGCAGA